GCTAAGGGCTTTTAAGAGTAATTAAAAGTTAAGAGTATATGTCTACTACAGTAAAAATTAATATACATCCATATGATGACATATGACTGTTCAGTTTAAAATTATTAGTGATTAAAAAACAAAATTCACATTTAAGATTTTAAAAATAACAAGGCTTGGAAATATTCTGACAACTTAGGAGTACAAAAGTGAAAAAGAAAAAGTCTCATACAAAATATACAATGCAATTCTCTTTACATCCATATTTAAGACCTGTACATTTATGCGTACATATATGTACATACTGCATATGTGTGTATGTTATGTGTAGAGAGACAGATAGATGGATACTTAGCTAGTTTAGTTATTTTGTCTGACACTCAGTGGACTCCTTCAATGTGAAGTTTTATAGCACAGGAATTCTTTTTTCTATTATTTCTAGCAATCTATTTCACTTTTATTTCCTACTAAACAGAAACTGGCTCCCCAACGTGTCTTCCGTATTTTCTAACAATTCTCTTATAATTTCCATCCATATTTGTGTTTTATGTTGCAAGTGATTTCCTTTTGGAAAAATTTTCATTATAAATTTAATTACTTTACTAGCTATAAAATATTCAGATTATCTGTTTTGTCTTAGGTGAGTTTTGGCAATTTGTGTTTTTCAAGGATTTGTTCTATTCATCTAAACTCATTTATGTGTATAAAGTTGTTTACAGTATTCCCTTATTATCCAATTGATGTCTGTGGTATCTACAATGATATCTCTTTATTCCTAATATATTGGTAATTACAATAAGACTTCGAATAACGTTTTGTTCAACATCGTTTCATTATAACATTGCTGAGATGCCATAGGAACTTAATTCTTTATATCAATTACTCTAAGGTAAAATTGGTTCCATCATAAATATATCTTTCCTCTTACAGCTGCAGAACCTATCAACATCATTAAGTGAGGACATACTATACTACTTTCTCTGTCAGTCTTGCCAGAGGTTTATCAATTTTATTAGTATTTTCAAAAAATGGCTTTTCGTTCGATTGATTTTTCTCTATTGTTTTTCTAATTAAGTTCTGCTTTTTTCATTATGCTTGCTCATTTTTTCCTTTTAGATTCTTGAAACAAAAGCTGAAACACACTTAATGCTATAAATGTCCCTCTCAACACAGCTTTAGCTACATCCCACAAATTTTAATGTTATATTTTCATTTACATTCATTTCAAAATATTTTTATTTCTCTTGAGACTTACTCTTTGATCCATGGATTATTCAGTGTGTTGTTTAATTTCTAAGTGCTTCAATATTTTCCTGTTGTCTATGTTACTGATTTCTAATTTGTTTCCATTATGATCAGAATGTTCTCTGACATAAATTACAAATTTGTTAAGAGTTTTTTTACAACCTAAGATATTGTCCGTCTTGGGGAATGTTCCGTGTATGCTTGAAAACAATCTGTACTCTGATATTATTGGGTGGAGTATTCTAAATATTTCAGTTAAATCCTGGTGACTGATGGCGTTGTTCAGTTCTCTATCCTTGATGACTTTTGGCTAGCGGTTATATCAATTACTGAGAGAACGGGTTATAAACTCGAAGTGTAATAGTCGATTTCTCTCATTCTTCCATTCAGTCCTTTTAGGTTTTACTTCATTTATTTTGCAGCTCTGTTTTTGGTGCATACATAAGACTGCTATGTCTTCTTGGTGAATTGACCTTTTTATCACTTTGTAATGTTCCTTTGTCCCTGGTAGTTTTCTTATTCTGACATAATTTTTTTTCTTATAGTAGTATAACATGCTTAATTTTATTTATATTTATTTAAGAAATAATTCATAATTAATAATATTTTAAATATAGCCATTCCAGCTTTCTTTTGATTAGTGTTTGTATGGTATATATTTTTCTATCTTTTAACATCCTTGTGTCATTACATATGAAGTGAGTTTATTACAGACAGCATATAGTTAAGTCTTTTTTATCAATTCTGTGCATGTTAGGATTTAAGTCTAAAAAAAACCCAGTGGCTTTTTTTATAGTTCTATAGGCTACCTGAACACTTTTAGTATTCCATTTTGATTTATTTAGAGTTATTATTATATTGCTTTGTATAATATTTTTAATGATTGCTCTATAGATTACAATATACACATATACTTATAGTCTACGAGTATCAACATTTTACCACTTGGAAGTGAAACACAGATATTTAATCACAATCTATGGCCCTTTCCTTATTTCAGTTTTCAAAATATAACCTCTATATACATTGAGAACCATATCAATATTATAATTTTTGCTTTGTATCATTCAACACAATTTTAAAAACTAAAAAGAATTTATTTATCCCTTTCACTGCTTTCTTCATTCCTAATTTTCTAAGTGGCCCATCAAATTGTGTCTGATGAACTTCCTTTATAGTCACTATTTTAGAACCAATCTACTGGCAACAATATTCCTTAGCTTTCTTTTGTCTGAAAATGTGTTTATTTTTCCTTCATTCCTGAAGTATATTTTTCCTGGATACACAAATCTGAAGTAACATAAATCTTTTTATCTTTCGGTAATTGAAAAATGTTGGGCCACTTCCTTCTGTCTTCCATAGTCTCTGATAAGAAATCTGCTGTCATTCAAACTGCCATTTCCCTAATAGTACTCAGTTTCCCTTTCAAGATTTTCTTTGGCTTTAATTTTCAGTTTAACTATAATGTTTCTGAGTATGGATTCTTTAGGTTTATCCTGCTTGGAGTTCACTCACCTTCTTGAATCTGTAGGATTATATCTTTTGCCAAATTTGAGGAGATTTAAGCCATTATTTTTTCAAAAAATTTGTACCTACGTATTCTGTCTTTTTAATACAATGATGCCTCGAATGTTAGATCTTTTGTGACTGTCCCACAGGTCTCTGAGGCTATGTTCACTTTTTCAATTTTCTTTCTATTATTCAGATTGGATAATTTTTACTGATCCATCTTCAAGTTTACTAGTTCTTTCCTCTGTCCTTTCCATTCTGATATTAAGCCTATACAGTAAATTTTAAATTTTGGTTACTGCATTTTTCAATTCTAAAATTTTCATTTGATTCTTTGTATTCTCTACTTCTTCGCTACAGTTTTGTTTCCATTTGTTTCAAGAGTATTTGAAATAGCTCACTGGAGCAATTTTGCAAAAACCGCTTTAAAATCTTTGCTGATGACTCCAACATCTACATCGTTTCAAAGTTAGCATCTATTGACTATCTTTTCTCATTAGAGTTGAGATTGTCCTGATTTTTCATATGACAAGTAATTCTGGGCTGAATGCTGGACATTTTAAGTATTACACTATGACACTCTGATTCCTATTTAAAGATTCTATTTCAGCAGGTGGTCAACCTGTTTAGATTCAGAATGCAATCCCAGGCTCACTTTTGCGGGCTGTGATTAAAATGTCAATCTAGTTTATAAAATCTCTCCAGTGTTCTTCTGGTTTTCCTCATTTGTCTGTTACTAGATGACAGAACTCCACTCCACTTTATCTTCAGCATGTACTTGGGTGGGGAGAAGCCCTGCCTCATTGCAGCAGGGCAAGGATGGAAACAGAGTTCTGTCCATAGGATGTACTAGAGAGGGGCCCTGCCTCATTAATGATGGGAGGCACAGGGAGGGAAAGTCAGATCCTGTCCACAGGCTCAGAAGGGGAGGATGTCATCTTATTACTTCAGGGGGAGTGGAAATCAAGAGTTCTAACCACAAGCTCCTTTGCTGTAAGGAAAGGACGCTTCTTCTTTACTTTAGTGCAGAGGAGGAAGTCAAAAGTTTTGCCCACAGAACTCTGCAAGCTAAGGGCCCACCTTGTTAATGCTGGATAGTCGTGAAAGCCAGCGTCCCACCCACAGGCTCTGCTGGAGAGAGGTGCCGCCACGTAATTGCTGGTGGAGCAAAAGTCAGAGTCCTCCCTACAGGCTCTGCTGAGGAAGGGTATTGCTTCATTATTGGAGGGGAGGGGAAGATGTCAGAGTTCAACCCACAGGATCCATTGGAGAGGCAAATCTTGTGACGGCAGGTCTGCGGGGAAGGGTGTGTGTGTAAGACAGAGCTCTGGCTGTGGATTCTGCTCTGTAGTGCCTGTTGGGGTGGAAAGGGAGCATGCGGCTTTTATTGTGACATTCTCCTAGAGAGCAGGCAGGATAGGTTAAAAGGGCCATCCTTTGGTTAAAGAGAATAGGCTTTTCTTGGTGCTATGTTTTGTCTGCACTCGTTAGCATTTCCAGGTTGTAAGCGTCTCTAGAACCTAGGCCAGGATATATGGGAAGCAAGAAAAAAACAACAGTCAGGGAACTCACTCAATCCTTGAATCTCAAGGTCCCTAGCCGGTTCACCTTCTTTTCTCTAATTTTCATAGTTTTCTGGTAGGTGATTTATAGGTTTTGTCTAGGGGTTTTGTTGTGATTAGTAGGGAGAAAACCGAATGTGTTTACTCCATCTTGCTTGGAACCCAAACCCTGTCACTTGTTTTTAGTCTAGATTTTGTGTGTCCTATTACTCTCTACCCTCTAAATGTCCAAATGATATAAACTGGGTTTTTATTAATCTTTTTATTAACCGTTGGCCTAGGAGAAAGTGTCATGTATGACATATCCTTGAAGCTCAGGAGCTATAAGAAACTGTTGGTACAACTTCTTGGCTTTTACCTACCATTAGGTTCACAATGTAACTCTCAAATTTGTCCATTCATTCAGTAAACACCTGTTTCATGAAAGCTTCTGGGGGTACAGCGATGAGTAAGACAGCTAAAATCTCTGGTGTTATGGACCTTACATTTTACTGAGATAAGTGGAGGCACTGCAGGCATATGAATAAGGTATTCTCTTCAGGCTGGACAAAACTCAGTCTACTATGTTTCAGTTAATATTAGGAACATACCTTTTAAAAACTGCAAATATTGAGAAATGTAAAAATTTGCAATTGGCATAGGTAATTTTTTCACTTGGTACAATGAAATTTTAATGATCTAATAAACTAGTTATCAACTACTTACCACATAGAGTTGTTTCCACAGACTGGCCCATTCTTGTAGAGTTGCTGTAACCTCCGTCACAATAGAATCTTCTAGTGGAACCACAGTTTCATACTGCCTAGAACCACAACAAACAACCACATTATCTCTGATAAAGTACCAGAATACTATCTACTGCCCTTTCCAACATGTATAATTCAAATTTCAAATCCATGCAAATATAAAGAGAGGTATAGCTAATTGATTAAAGACCCTTTACAGTAATAAAATGCAATAGTGTAACAGTACTGAATTAACAGAAAAACATTTGGGTTTTGCTATATATATATATATATATCTCCTCAATTTCACTTTTAGAAATATACACTGGCTTTAAGACAGACATTTTTAAAACACTGTTTTAAGCCTTTTTTCTTTAAGGAAAGGTGAAAGCACTGTTCAAGACTTGCTTAATTTTTTAAATTATCTGTGTCCTTTAACATATACCAGTAATACAAATTAGTTCTTGGCATAAAAGATCTAATGGGAATAGGTTGAGGGGGAACCCAGACACTGGATTTTGAATAGTTTCATAAGCTCTCTTTTACACTGGTGTTGAATTTTCTTAAAAACTAGTGTTAGTCAAGGAATTCTGGGTCTGCTAGAGGATTTCTGATCCTGGAAACAGAAATGTACTGAGTTTCTCTCATCTTACCTCATAAGTAGCACTATGTTACCAGTCTCTGTGCTAATTGCCAACGATTGATCAGTGAACAAAACTGGACAGGGTCCCTATTTCCAGAGAGCTCTTGTTCTGGATAGGGAATCGGACAGATAAATAATCACAACATATACGAACAGTCATGAATCTAAGAAGGAAATTAAAATGCACAATCAGAGATTTTAGATGGAAACATGATTTAAGAAGAGAGGATCAGCAAACTCTTCTCTGAAGAAGTGGTGAGGCACAAAAGATGCAGAAGGGTCGAGACAGGAAAACTATATAGGGAGAGAGGGGATCAGGTGTAGTGTCACCAGCAAAGGAAATAGGAGATGAGAAGTCGTTGAGGAGAAAAAGAATTTAACATACTGAAGAAGTTAATGAAGGCCAGTATGGCTGAGGCAAGCTCTCACAGGGCCTTTTCAAATGATACTGGAGATTCTAGATCTTGACATAAGTAAAATCAATGAGAAGTTATTGAAAGGTGGGGCATGAGTTGATAATGTTTTTACAATGTCTATGCAAGTTTTGAAGGACAATGAAATATTTTCTGAGACTAAATATTTTATATACTGATTGATATGACTGGAACTCATATTCTGATTTGTGAGCCAAAGAGAACATCATCCACTCAGAAATAGCAAAGGAAAGTGTATTTCACAATATTATCATTAAGTATCATTTCTTTACACCAGAAGATAGTTGACAAACTACCACTGTGTTGAAAGATAACTCAATGCATTAATATCGAGCATCAATGAACATATGTTAGTTGATTATGTTTTATGGCTTTACTGTTTTGTGTGATTTATTCCAGCAGATAAAAAGAATCACCTTGGAATGATGCCAGAGAATTATCTATACTCATCAAATTGATAAGACAATTAAAATAAAAGCTTTCATCAAGAGCTTGCTAAGGAGTAGAATGTGACACACTTTTTCCGTGTGTCACTAGCATCCAAGGTACTGATTCTCAGATTCGACTTTAATTTCAAGTACTATTATAATAGTTTTTAAATAAATGATTTAATTTACTTTAACTTTTTGAAGTAAGTCATATTGAACTTTCTAACAGATGAAGAAGAGTAAGCCAATGATAAATGCCAGCTCTGAGAAGGAAGAAGTCTTATTATTGACCCATTATACAAAACTGAACTGAATGAGAAGACACCCTTTATTTCTTCAAGCTACTGGATGACTGGGTATAAATGGAATTTCTGTGGTTATTTCTATATACTATGTCTTAAGAGTGCTTAAGAGATAATTAGGAGATTTACAGAAATAATCAGGGAGATCACCATCTTAATAACAAAATGTAACATAAATCACAAACAGGTGCCGTGTGACATCAACTGTAAGTTCTAGTGTTGTTCTGAAGGAGAAAGTTCACTGTAAACTGTTGATCAGATAAAGCTTCATGAAGAAAGTGAAGTTTCTAAAGGAAAGTTGGGTATGAAAGGCAAGGAGCGGAGAGAGAGCCCTGTGGGCTCTAATATGCTATGAAAAGAAATGAAGAGAAAATAATGAGCAAGGCATATGAAAGAGGATTCATGCTGGGGACACGGGGGGACTGTGTCTGAAAAGGCAGAACAGTGTTGTCAGTGAGAGCGTAAGAGATTTAAACTTGATTCTATGGAAAAAGACACGGGGGAGTGCTGTGTTTCAGTAGGATTGATACAGAAATGATATGTAGGATAAACCGGAATAAAATTTCTGGAAAGTTTCATCTATTAGGTCTTCGGCTACTTTACTCATTAAGATAGATGGGAAATTTACAGTGTTTCTATTTTAAAATTCTAAGACTTCAGACTTACCTCGATTAATACTAACACAAGTCTAAACTAATACTGACTTATTTTTCTTAGGTTGTAACACAAAAGCAATATCCTGATAATTCTATAAATTCATATATAGTGTTATTTCCAAACGCACTGATCTATAGGTAAGAAGAATCGAGTCAGAACACTAGGAAAAGGCATTAAATAAAGTAAAATAGTAAGCAGATTTCCAAAGGAATTCTAGGTTCATATAGAGTAAAGAGTTATTAAGAAATGAAATTTGGTAGTGAAAAGAGAGGACCCTTTAATTCAGTGGATATTACACTGAAACGTAGCTGAGAGCATGAACTAAAGAATAAACTAATGTAGCCTCTCAGTTCCTATTTTCCCTACTTCCTAGTCATGCTACTTTGGTAAAGGTTCTTGAAACTCTCAAAGCCTTGCCTATCTCATATGAAATAAGCAGATAATCTCATCTGTCAATCTGGGATTCCAACATACGATGTGATGAGTGTAAAGTATCAAATACAATGCCTAGTGTATACAATATTTAATAAATGGTAGCTATTGTTGACTCTTAATATTTTAATTTTCATTAATTATGAATTACCAAAGTACATGTAGAATAAAATGATATCAAAATGAGTCAGATTTTATATTGTACGTTAAAATATATTTTACAAAGACTTCTTGTGAAAATAGTGTTCTAAGTTCATGCTTTGGCCTATCTCCTCACCTCCCAATCTAGAGCAGGGAAAATACAAAACAGAAAACCAATAACATTTCTGAACTCCAAAAGAAAATAAACATCTCAATAGAATGGCAATTGGTCAGGAAAAAAAGAGCCGTGAACCAGGGTGAAACCACAGGCCTTCTAGAAGGCTCTGGAGTCACAAGCTAGCGGTGACAACTAGGGGCTTAGATGCAGAGGGAGAACAGGAACAAAAAGTGCTCCAAATGAGAAGCGGCCCAAGGCAAGGGTCATACTTGCAGCTCCCGAAAAGAAAGCCAACGTGAAGCACAGCAAAAACTGCTACTGAGCCTCACTTGAAACTATGGCTTTTAGCAAGCTCTACAGCTAAACAGTTGGGCCTACAGCAATCCCCTCCTCCCCTCAGCCAGAGGTCAGGCTCTGCCACAGGCCCGATCTCACTGTGGGGAAGGAGATCTAAAATGCTGTTGTAGGACTCGGTTCTATACTGGGGCACTGGGAGCACGCAGAGGTAACCGCATAAGCACCAGACAGATGTACTCGGAGGGAGAGAAGGAGGAGAAAACAATCTCCCACTTCTAAAGCAAAATTCTAAAACACATGAACAATCTAATGTTCAAAGGCTTAAAAATAATATTAAAAAATCCTTTTCAAGATTTTATAAAAGTCTAATAAACATTTTTAAATATTTATGATACTTAGAGAAATGAACTTATTTTTAAAAAAGGAAAAGTATGAAACAAACAATAAAACTACAGCCAATTGATATGCAAAAGAACCAACTAGGAATTTTGCAAATTAAAAAATGGTCAACAAAATGTCCATCAACTGCTGAAAGGAATAATAAAACATGTTATATTCACACAATAAAATATTAGTCAACTTTTAAAAGGAATGAAATTTGGATACATCCTACAACATGAGTGAGCTCTGAAAACACTATGCTAACAAGTGAAATAAGCCAGACACAAAATGACAGATATTGCACGATTCCATTTATATGAGGCACCTACAATAAAAGAGTGCACAGAGACAGAAAGTAGAATAGGGGCCACCAGGGGCTGGGGAGTCGGGAACTGGGGAGTTACTGTTTAAGGGGTACGGAGTTTCTGTCTGGGATAACGAAAGGTTCTGGAGTTGAATCCTGGTGAAGGCTGCGCAACACTGTGAATGTACTTAATGACACTAAATTGTACACTTAAAAATGGTTAACATCCTAAATTTTCCTTAGGCATATTTTACCACAATTTTTTAAATGACAAATGAGAAGACCAAGGCCAGTTTCCTTACCCATCTTGCAGTTTTATACACATTAATATAATGGCAATAAGGTATTCAACAGTCTATTAAAGGTCATGTTGCCCGAAATAAAGCCGGCAGAAAAAGAAAGTCCAAATCCCATCATGATGAATTAAGTCCAGAGTAATGAACTTGCCTAACAGTGTTGGCTAATCCACTTCGAACATGGTACCATATCAGTCTCAAGGTTACCCACAGCTAGTGACCAGTTCTGATTCAACAGTCATGGTACCAGACCAGCCTTGATGAGTGAAAGTTGAGCTCATGAATAGCTGCTGTTCCTTTCACCACATTCATTGTGGGATGGCTGGAAAAGGAAAGAAACTAAATTCACGGTACATTGAAGGCAGTGATGGGTTGGTGTAGGACAGCAGTCACCAACCTGTCTGGCACCACGGACTGGTGCTTCTATGAGCATCTAATGCCTGATGAGCTGGGGTGGAGCTGAGGCGGTGATGCTGGCGCTGGGGAGTGGCTGCAAATACAGATGAAGCTTCACTCTCCCGCTGCTCATCTGCTGCTGTGCGGCCCGGTCCTAACAGGCCATAGGACCAATACTGGTCCGCGGCCTAGGGGGTGGGGATCCCTGGAGTAGGGAACAAGGAAAACTGGCTTCCTTTGCAAGATAA